AATTTCTGAAAGGTTGCTATCAAGCTAAAGGATCATTAATCATGTTTATATCACAGACAAGACGTTCGCTTGTCACTGGATCCAACTGTTCAGGTAATATGCTAGACAATCCCCGTACATATTATCACTGCAAAGTCATAAACTTGCCTTACAGTAAAGAGATTTTGGTGGGATGTCCCCAGTTGAGTGTCAATGTAACGACTAAAACAATTAAATTTCCTTAAATTTTAATTCAATGAAGTGCCTGTCTGGCATTTTATCTGAATGAGTATAAAATCCCCTTTCAGCAAAATTACTATTTATTGCAATTGTTTTTCAAAATGAATTAAAGTCGTTCTTCCCCTTTGCATTAACGTATTATGAGGGCTCTTTCAGTTGAGTATCAAGGTTAATCTGGACTGAATCTCATTAGAATCATGTCATTTCTCAAAGTCAGAACCATATCGCTTTGTCTCCAAGGCGGGATCAACCAGGAAGGCTGTAGGCATCCGGAATTGGTAGGTACACAAGACACAGGTCTCTTGGGGGACCACGTTAATTTTTTGATGGGTCTTTACACCAACATTCAAGTCATTTACACAAATTTACGCTCCTGTGAGTTTGAATAAAGCAATTGCGAAGTAGCCTCAACGGGAGCTTTTGTTTTGGGCAAATGAGCTGGAACAGTAAGTGCGAGCTGTAGAGGTAATTCATACTCGGCACCCGGCTGTCCTCCTCCCTATCTGCCCCTATCACAACAAAACCATGGGGGAGTAAGTGCAAGCTTCAGCGCAGTTCACACTCCCCCTCTTGCAGAACGTGGGGACTCTCAACATTTCCTATGCCTGAGTGGTTCCTTGTTCTGCTCCTATCCTCCCATCCATCATGGACCTGCCCAGCGCCTGTCACAGTGGAACCCGAGCCGCCTCCCCGGTCTCGGCAGCCCAAATGTCATCTGAGGAAGCTCATTTTTCATGCTCGCATTTTTCGCTAACTGATTCATGTTCGAGTCGTTGACTTCCCAGTGTTTTTTTTCAGACACACTTTCAATGCTTATTTTTGTGTCATTTTTTCACAGCTACCTCAAGCATGAATGTTTTCTTTTGTCTAGCCTGAGACTAATAAGGTTTCGAACACTGTGGCGGTATGTCACCGGGCTTCCAAATGAAGACCTTACAGAGTCTGTGATTACTGTAACAGCTTGCTAATGACCCCCACAGACACCAGAACAAAGGGACAGACTCATCCTTAAGATTTATAGAAACGTACAAATTAGTCACGTTGGTTACGCCACACATTTGGCATAACAGAACATAATTCATGCAAATAGATTTTTATCACACTATTGCAATTAACTTCTAGGAGCCGTATTCTTCCAGCAGAACAACCTTGGTTCATTGTAAGGGATGAAATATTCTAGCGATGTACAGCCCTAAATCTCAACATGATTAACTTAGTCCGCTATACTGCCAGGGAATACTTGCAAAGCACATTGCAAATTAATAATACCCATAAACAACAGACAAATTCGACAACTTAGAAAGATTGTTTTGTTTTGTGAAAGCTTGAGATTTCTTTATGTATTCCTGAAGGCAACCAAGGGCAAGACTGTATGTTGCCATTGGAATGAGATGTGACATGACGTGACATGGGGTGGCGTGGGGTTGTGTGTGTGAGAGAGAAACCATGGGGTGGGGAGAAGGGGTGTATGGGTGAGATGGGGGATTTAGGGTTGTCTTGGGGAGAGAATGCCATGACAGGTGGTGGGTTATCAGTAATGGGGTGGCGTGTCGTGGCATGGTGTGGCGTGGTGTGGTGAGGAGAGAGAGGTGAGGTTAGGCGAGGTGAGGTGAAGTGAGGTGAGGTCTGGAAGAGAAAAGAAGTATGTAATACCCGGTAACAGGCAGGCGTCGGTTTGGTGGACAGGAGGGACTTTAGAAAATCATATATTCACGTGACAAGAAACCTCAATTGTAGCATAGACTGCCTTTTACATGTGTCTATCCCATGAATACAAAAACAGCAACGTTGCAGCAGTTTGGGAAATTGTGTCAAAATTTAGGCATGAGATAAAATACCAAAAATCATATCAGGCAGCAGCTTTAGTCAGTTTTCGTAATATCAATTAGTCAATACAACTACAGAAACATTTCATCTGTTTTTGGGATGTGAGTCACATTAATGTCATCATTTGAGTTGTAAACAGCATGAGAACTCGTCATGCTACTGGTGTGTGTTCATCTGTGTGTCAGGGAGAGAGTTAGTGAGGCTTAATGCAGCTTTCAAGTAGAATTACATCAATATCACAGCAGGTGATGACTACAATAATCTGTCTCTCAAGCACTAGACTTGGGAACTGCCATCCTGTTTCACTGAACCTTGTTCCAACAGAATCATGATGAAATGTCCAACTGAAGCATGATGAAATGTCCAACAGAATCATGATGAAATGTCCAACAGAAGCATGATGAAATGTCCAACAGAAGCATGATGAAATGTCCAACTGAAGCATGATGAAATGTCCAACTGAAGCATGATAAAATGTCCAACAGAATCATGATGAAATGTCCAACAGAAGCATGATGAAATGTCCAACAGAGGCATGATGAAATGTCCAACTGAAGCATGATGAAATGTCCAACAGAAGCATGATGAAATGTCCAACTGAAGCATGATGAAATGTCCAACAGAAGCATGATGAAATGTCCAACTGAAGCATGATGAAATGTCCAACAGAAGCATGATGAAATGTCCAACAGAAGCATGATGAAATGTCCAACTGAACCATGATGAAATGTCCAACAGAAGCATGATGAAATGTCCAACTGAAGCATGATGAAATGTCCAACAGAAGCATGATGAAATGTCCAACTGAAGGAAGAAACTAACAAAGAAGTCAGTGCCTCCACACATGAATCGAAGGCATGATTTGACCATGCTGCTCTAGGTCAGCACCTGAGGAGTTGAATGAATGTGTGAGGAGGGATTGGTTGGGTTTCACATCACCTTAACACTTATCCCATTACGTCAGCTAAACAAGGGAGTAGACAGCTAGGCAATGTTTGTTTCAGACATTAAGAACTTTGCTGAAACTGAAGAGCAAAGTTATGGTACTGACACACCTCGAACCATACTTTGAGCAAACTGGGACTCAAACCCACAATGAGAGATTCCTGGCATGCCAAAGGGACGCAACTCTGCAAAGCAAATTGTGACACTTAAGATGACCACGCCACCCATGGCCCTCGGTTTCATAAAGTGGAAACTTTTCAAGACTGACATCCTTTTAGGATTTTGTTCAATATTAAGCGGCCTCATGACCAAATTAAAAAACTGCTTTAAGGTGCATCAAACTCAACTGAATTGTTTCTGCACGTCTAATAAATAAAGTCAGATAAAAGATGACAACTTCAGACACCTGCACATGACGTTCACAACATGGAGGACACCTCCAATGCATGAGGTCATGTTGTACAGTTTGCACAATGATGCTCAATAGACATCAGAGCTGAGACTTTCTTCTTTTCCATAAGGGGCGGTGGGGTAGCCTAGTGGTTAAAGCGTTGGCTCGTCACGCAGCCGAAGACCCGGGTTCGAATCCCCACATGGGTACATTGTGTGAAGCCCATTTCTGGTGTTCCCTGCCATGATGTTGCTGGAATATTGCGAAAAGCGGCATAAAACCAAACTCACTCACTCACTCACTCTTTTCCATAAGTCAGGGATGAAATCAGTTTCATAGCAGAAACTAACAGCTAACATCGTATAGAAAGTGTTTCAGGTAGAATACAGCATGTAAGATTCAAGTGGGAGATACATGACTGACTGAGAGTACCCCATTACAATTGCTGAAACCAACAAGCATGGGACACATGCTGGAGTACCCTCACAATAAGCAGAGTCTGGCACACACCAGGCACTGATATTGTCTCAAAACCAACATTATAATTATGAATTGGACACAAAGTTACTTCCAATATGGACACAGCGTTATACAAATCAGTGAAATGTCTGATAGATTTTTCACATCCAAGCTATTATTTGCTTCACTTAAAGAAGGTCACATAATTAGAGGCATTTTGTCCCACAATTTAGTTCAAGTAGTGCAAGCATGACGGTCACAGCTGTAGCAATCAATTATACATGTGACAATACCTTGTACTTCCTACAGGTGAACTCCACTTTATTGTTTCAAGCAGGAATCCCAAAGGACTCTGTGTACAAAGAAATCTCTCCCTGGGACAATTAAACCTCATTACCATCATTCATGTGTTTAAACAATGACATCATTCTCAAAAATCATTCTTTGAAAATAACTTTTAAAATTTAACAAAGTCAATACATGAGCACATAGAGAATGGGCATGTACAATTATATTATTTTAATCGTCATCACCAGATGTATTCAGATTTACATAACAATGAAACTACAAATTCCCATCATGACAAATGTCTAAATCAATGGCAAACCCACACCAAGCTCACATCTGTAACCATAATGGGAAAAACACTTAGTTTTTTTTATCCTGAAAGAAAACTTTTGGTTTTGTCTATTGCTCATGCTTTGTTTAATGGTTCTGAAACATTCTAAACAGTTTTGGTTTTTTTAATATTTTAAACTGTCATTTGAAAACATGTCAGTCATATATATATAACATGCAACAACATGTCTATCTACGCCCAAAACACCGTGAATGTGCATGGCAATCAACATATCAGGGATGATTTTAGGTGTTTGACATTAGAAGTGATACACATAGAGTTTTATGAATGTCAACGTCTTTGGTATGAGGAACAAAATGTTTCAGACAATATGCTTACTCCTTCGTCACAATTCCATCCTGATGAACGAGTAAACATAGAGTCTGAAACGTTACATTTCTCATAACAAAGAAGTTGACACCCATAAAACTCTCTTCCATGGGATGATTTTGTTCAAACTGATGGGGAACAGTGACAATTGCACTGATGGAGCACGATCATGCTCAAACCTTTGGGAAATGGTATCATTTGAGCTGTTGGTTAATGATGACGCTCAACCAGACTCGGGGAATGATGACACTCGGGCTGTTTAGGAATGATGACACTCGGGCTGCTGGGGAATGATGACACTCGGGCTGCTGGGGAATGATGACACTCGGGCTGCTGGGGAATGATGACACTCGGGCTGTTTAGGAATGATGACACTCGGGCTGCTGGGGAATGATGACACTCGGGCTGTTTAGGAATGATGACACTCGGCTGCTGGGGAATGATGACACTTTCGGCTGCTTGGGAATGATGACACTCGGCTGCTGGGGAATGACACTCGGGCTGTTTAGGAATGATGACACTGGGCTGCTGGGGAATGATGACACTCGGGCTGCTGGGGAATGATGACACTCGGGCTGTTTAGGAATGATGACACTCGGGCTGCTGGGGAATGATGACACTCAGGCTGCTGGGGAATGATGACACTAGGGCTGCTGGGGAATGATGACACTCGGGCTGCTGGGGAATGATGACACTCGGGCTGCTGGGGAATGATGACACTCGGGCTGTTTAGGAATGATGACACTCGGGCTGCTGGGGAATGATGACACTCGGGCTGCTGGGAAATGATGACACTCGGGCTGCTGGGGAATGATGACACTCGGGCTGTTTAGGAATGATGACACTCGGGCTGTTTAGGAATGATGACACTCGGGCTGCTGGGGAATGATGACACTCGGGCTGCTGGGGAATGATGACACTCGGGCTGTTGGGGAATGATGACACTCGGGCTGTTTAGGAAGGATGACGCTCAACCAGACTCGGGGAATGATGACACTCGGACTGTTTAGGAATGATGACACTCGGGCTGCTGGGGAATGATGACACTCGGGCTGCTGGGGAATGATGACACTCGGGCTGTTTAGGAATGATGACACTCGGGCTGTTTAGGAATGATGACACTCGGGCTGCTGGGGAATGATGACACTCAGGCTGCTGGGGAATGATGACCCTCGGGCTGTTTAGGAAGGATGACGCTCAACCAGACTCGGGGAATGATGACACTCGGGCTGTTTAGGAATGATGACACTCGGGCTGCTGGGGAATGATGACACTCGGGCTGTTTAGGAATGATGACACTCGGGCTGTTTAGGAATGATGATGCTCGGGCTGCTGGGGAATGACGCTGGGCTGGGCTGGGGAATGATGACACTTTCGGGCTGCTGGGAAATGATGACACTTGGGCTGCTGGGGAATGATGACACTCGGGCTGCTGGGGAATGATGACACTCGGCTGCACTCGGGCTGGGGAATGATGACACTCGGGCTGTTTAGGAATGATGACACTCGGGCTGCTGGGGAATGATGACGCTCGGGCTGCTGGAGAATGATGACTCTCGGGCTGCTGGGAAATGATGACACTCGGGCTGTTGGGAAATGATGACACTCGGGCTGCTGGGAAATGATGACACTCGGGCTGCTGGGAAATGATGACACTCAGGCTGTTTAGGAATGATGACACTCAGGCTGCTGGGGAACGATGACAATCCAGCTGTTGGGAAATGATGACACTCCAGCTGTTGGGGAACGATGACTATCTAGCTGTTGGGAACGATGACGCTCCAGCTGTTGGGGAACGATGACAATCTAGCTGTTGGGAACGATGACAATCTAGCTGTTGGGGGACGATGACAATCTAGCTGTTGGGAACGATGACAATCTAGCTGTTGGGGAACGATGACGCTCCAGCTGTTGGGGAACGATGACAATCCAGCTGTTGGGGAACGATGACCATCTAGATGTTTGGAACGATGACAATCTAGCTGTTGAGGGATGATGACAGTCTAGCTGTTGGGAACGATGACAATCTAGCTGTTGGGAATGATGACAATCTAGCTGTTGGAGAACGATGACAATCTAGCTGTTGGGAACGATGACAATCTAGCTGTTGGGACGATGACAATCTAGCTGTGGTGAACGATGACAGTCTAGCTGTTGGGAGACGATGACAGTCTAGCTGTTGGGGGACGATGCACTTCAGCTGACAGATCACCACTACACCTGATTAGTCCCCTCAAACAACTACAGGGGTTTACTCTCCAAAGGAGCACTGTTGGAAATCCAATTATCTGACTCATGCACATGTACACAGTGAGTGAGATGTTGTCTATTGACATTGTCCAGAACATCCCCCTAAGAGCACCATCAGTGCTTGAATAGTACATCCCCCAAATCAGAATATCTTGACAAAGCAAAGACATTTAAAACAAGTAGGAAATGAGCTGGCTAAAAATTATATATTTCCATTTGAGTCGTATCTAAAAACACTTTACCTCAAAACACAGCAAAATCAGAAAGGTCCACAGTAACAAATGTCCATTTGCTGATATAAATCTGAAGCTCCATTGATGATGAAGACAGAGACTCCCCACAATGGTAATCCCCCTGCTCAGTCGATCTGTCCGTCCCCTGCTTAATTGTCTCCCTTCATGTCACGTGTGTCTTCACTCAAGTGGTGGCCATTGAGTTGACCACTCTTTAATTCAATTGCTGTGATCAGTGCTGCAACATGCCTGAGAGACTGTGACACCAAGCTTTCCGAAGACCAATATTTAATTGTATTTATTTCTGGAGTCTAGCAGCTCATTCCCTGTAGGCTGGGATTCGTCCCAGGGAGTTGAACTGAGAAATTACATTAGTTTCTGGGCACTTGCTCAAGCAACATGTTACACTTGCCCAGTAACGGCCCGATCCTTTGAGAAGGAAAATAAGGTCCTCACCAGATTTCCATGCAATCAATAACCAAAATAATGACTGCTTGTCGGTTTTTCACCATTTCCACGTCTCTTCGTTTCTTCCATTTGGGTAATTTTTTGCATCATTGGAATGATTTCAATTGAGCGAAATCGTCTCATGTTCTGTGTGTATTTCGATTTAGAGACGAGAATTGTGCCATTGTAGCACTGTTGACTGAAATACTGCATGCTGATGACATCACAACTATAACAGAATGAGCCTCCCATCCAATCAATTCCTATTTTTTGCATTCCATTTGAAAAATTCTATTTTGGATATGGAAATTCAAATATCAAAGGATTATGCAATATCATTAGCACATAAATATCATTACGGATGTGAAAATAATAGCAGTGCGATGAGATGTATTACTTTGAAATGATAAATGGCTAAATCATGTCGATGCCCTAAACAAACTGATCACACACAAAGCACACGTTATTAAACATGTACAAAAACACAGTAATGTATCACGGTCAATTCGGTCAATGGACATGAAAAACATTAACTTTGTGAAATCAACATGCGTTCACTTCACCATCCACAAAAGCCATCATAAGAGTCTTGGGGATCAATACGACAAACTCCCAGCTCCAAACAGAAAATATATAAATCACGATCAATACTTAATCAGACAAATCATGCTTTCTAGCCCCAATCTGTCCTTTAATTCAATAAACAAAACATGTGTATAGACTGCTGCTTTCAAAGCCAGACAGAACGGCTTCAATGAGATGGAAGTGTTCTGTACACAGATTCATGCTTCAATAACCACAATGACAATATGTTGAGGATTTTCCACTTCTGGTCACTTCTGGTCAAGGCTTATCACCAATGGTCCAGGCTGATCCCAAGCTGACAGCATGATATCATCTTCAAGCTTCACATACTGAACTGAAAGGACTCACTCATGGATAGAAACCATCACTGACAAGCAATACCCTGCCCAAGCTGTCAGTGGCTGTTTCCCTGACCACTGGATGTGCTGTTGTCAGTAATTACATCTCAAGTTGACCACTGGTAAAATGTCAATTAAAATCATATCTAAAGCACATGAAGCTGGGAATAAAACTTATTGCTGATTCGGGGCGTTGGGGGAGCCAAGTGGTTAAAGCATTCATTCGCCACGCCAAACACCTGGGTTCGATTCCCCACATGGGCACAATGTGTGAAGCCCATTCCTGGTGTACTCCTGTGATATTGCTGGAATATTGCGGCGTAAAACCATACTCACTCACTTACTATTGCTGACACAGCAGGATAAAAACCTGGTGGAGTTAAAATCTGACTTCTCCCATACCGATTAAAATACATAATATAAAATAAGTCCAAATCAAGTCTAGAATGCTTTGGCAAGGCTTGATTGCCTCAGGTCTATGAATTGAGCAATGTCTTTGAGTCCATTTGGATCTTAATTCTTATTTACATATATCATTTTAAAGGTAACATTACTTCTGGGATGTACATCTAACAAAACTAGAGTGAGTGAGTGAGTGAGTTTAGTTTTACGCCGCTTTTAGCAATATTCCAGCAATATTCCAGCAATATCACGGCGGGGAACACCAGAAATGGACTTAACACATTGTGCCCATGTGGGGAATCGAACCCGGGTTTTCGGCGTGACGAGCGAACACCTTAACCACTAGGCTACCCCACCGCCCCAACAAAACTAGAACGACAAGGTGGTATGTTAAGTCATATAAACAATAATAAAATCTAATTTTGACTTATGACTAACACACATCTAGTCGCAATTCTATGGCTCAATAACTCTCATATCTGGAAGCGATAAATCCTCAAACTCGCCACATACTTCAAAGATGGAGAGCTGAAGCGATAAATGTCAGCAGTCAACAAACACCACAATAATGGAGCATACATCACTCCCCAGTTCCAGTACATGACAGGCAAATTCATACATCTAATGATTTTGTACAGGCCTTATTTTGAAGGATGATACTCGAACATCTAACAGATGAAATTACAACCTGTTTTTAATTAGTATTAATAACTACAAGCACTTTCAAACAACTCTGAAACTCGCTATAACCTGACATGGAGATAGTTTTCAATAAACAGGAAGGACCACCAACATCAATCGTCAGAAAAAAATATAAAATGGTCAAATTTATGTGTTTTTTCCAGCTAAAACATGATAATAACATATTTATTGTTCCGACTTTCAGACAGTTGAGAGGAAATACCTTCAGGCTATGGCCAATAAGATACCAGTAAATGTCTGACAAGTATTGCAGAAAATGACCAGAGAACTCAGATTATTCAATGACACGTTTACAGAAGGATTTTAAAAGTTGGTATACAGACCTCTGGGTCTAAAACTCAATGTTAGTTGTAGGAAAATAGCATAAATAATTTTCAGCTTCCAGATTGGTGCTGCTGCTAGTGAATAAACAACAAAGAAGTTGCAGCATGGCAAGATACTGACTTTTTCGACATTGAATTATTTGTACGAGTCCTGAGTAAAAGTAGTACTTTTGCAAGAAAACACTTTACTCACAATCCAGCTCAGTAGCCCAGTAGCCAAGATGTGTCAAGCTGTCTGTTGTATACCTAAAGCTACTAATCAGACATTCGCGACAATCCTCATGATTTGACCTTTTAGGTTTATAAATGTTTAAGGTGAATTTCCACCTGATTTGGTCAGTCTGCACCAAAGAATGTTATGAACTGTCAATCATTGCAAACCTCGTTTCATAATTACACAAAGAGTACTTACAGTTTCATGTCTATGTACATTAAAGTTAAGAAACTCAATTTGAATTTGGAAACATACTCCAAGAAAGGTCTTAATTTTTCAAAACACTTTATGGTAGGCATGCTGTGGAAATTCAAAACTTTAAAGCATCAATGACAAATATGATGTCCAATGCAATACCCTATTCCAACTGGTACCTACATTCCCAAAGTTTATCATGCAACTATTTGACTAGTCTTTGCATGTGTTTATGATGGGTGCAACTGGTAATACTAGCAATATCATGCTGAAAACAAACATGGAAATCAAAATATTAAAAATTTAACTTAGCCATAGTAAATATAGAATGACAATTAACACTAAGAAATAACTTACAAGAATAACAGATTACCTCGTGAACCAAGCATGTAAAGCTGTGAAAACCTTTGTCAAGTGATGATGGATAGAGATTCAAGGTTGTTCTATACAGTACTCATACCATATGAACAAAGAAATGAAATGTTTGGAATGAAACATCACAACAATGGAAGATATAATGTCCTTCTGTTCTTGAAAATACAAAACAATGAGACATCACGTCAACTGACCAATCAGCAACTGTTAAAATCCCACATGTATAACTTCACACCTTTCTACCTTATGAGTAATATCTTGTATATCACTGTTGTCATCCCTCCTTGACATTTACATCTTACACATCATAAACTCACAAAGGAATACAACACTGAAACCAGCTATCTCGTATAAAGCAGTATCTTTTGACCATCATCCATCACAGATGAGTATCATAAATTCAAGCCTGGCATTATATCTGTAAATGATGACAGATAACAATTTTCTTTCATTTCATTATTTCCTGCATATAAACAGTCCATAACACCATATCAGTAAGCACGTATTAGTAGCTTGTAAACTATATTTCACCATCCATCGAGTATACATGAAATTCAAGAATAAGTAAATAAATAATCAGGATCATTATTCCACATTACCTTAAAAACTCGCTCTCCAAAGCAGAATATCCCAGTCTCTCTCAAACAATCGAATACCACCAACATAGCATAACAACATGTGATTGGTGCAACTCCCATCAAACAAAGCCGGCAACATATTGTATCGATTTTCCAACACAATCATATTCCATAATCCTCAAACGGCACTGTAACTGTATTGAGTTAGCAAGATTGCTATCGAAAACATCCAATACACAATAGAACCTGGCGTGTTGACAATGTACTCCAGCAACAGGTTTTATCAATTCATGATAAAGCCAAACTGTTCACCGAATCTGTCTCCAAGGATGGACAATCTGAATCAAGAAAATCCTCAGAGAATTGGAATTAAATAAAACCAGAATTGGAGTATTGGCGCGCTTATTTCCAATATGTCATTTTGTATCTGGATGCAGTGAAAGGAAATTATGCAGCTTAGCATTACATAACAAAGACGAATTGAAAAGTGGAGTAAACGACTTCGCAGAATACTAAACATAGCCAGAATCAATGATTTTTAACATGTAAATTACTGCGGAGGACACACACTAAGAATGGGTCCGTCAGTATTGAGTGGAGCGGTATTGTAAACATCATAAAGATCCATCCCCAGATGACACACGCGATAGAAATGTATTCAATGTTTCTTCAAGATCACAAACAGGATAAATCACATTTCACAATATTTACAACCATCAAATCAAGGTTTTACTACCTTACCTTGATATTCTTATCAATTCCACAGCAATAAATAGTCACAATCCTCACACAGCAACACGACTTATCCCTATGGACCGCGAAGCTATCCGAAAGCCATTTGCCTCATAGCCAATACAATCAATGCTACCAAAGCATCAGCTGTTCCGATTCACTGCCCTTCCTAACCCCGCGACACCTGTCGAGAGTTGGCTGTCGGCTACTGCCCCGGTCCAGGTGACACATGTTTCGAGTCCATCCTAGTCCAATAGGTGTCTCAAGGACTCTTAACATCGGCCACCTTGATAGCCGGTGGGATTCAAGTAGATAACCCTTGTGTTGTTTGCTTAGTATAATATGACCAATGTTCGCCACACAGCCATGCGTTAAAGCACTTTGTAAGACCCGATCGCCTGTTTGGGGTTCACATACTTTTGTGGTAGGGCCTTAACGGGTGTGTGTCGGAGAGTCTGGAGGCTTGAGTTACACAGAGGTGGCTGTGATCAGACAGTCTACCTCACATGAATATCAATAGATGGTGAAATAGATGTTGTATTGTTAAACACGATAAGCTGGGACGTTCAGTGATGATAGTCAATACAATGACCATTGTGTATGGAATGAATAATGAAGGAGCTTACCTTGCTCAACAAAAGTTTATCATAACAAAATACATCCATTTATGAAAATGTAGAAAAAATGATGGGATGATTTTTTTTCTGACATTACAATAAAATCTACATGTTGTCCGTTACAGTTTGGTGACTAAGGGATTTCCATGAACGTTTTTTGGGGGACATGACTATTTTGTCTTTTAACTTTGTTTTTATGTTGCTGTAAAAATATTTATGGGTAAATTTGGTGCATGACAGTCAAGTGAGTGAGTGAGTGAGTGAGTGAGTGAGTGAGTGAGTGAGTGAGTGAGTGAGTGAGTGAGTGAGTGAGTGAGTGAGTGAGTGAGTGAGTGAGTGAGTGAGTGAGTGAGTGAGTGAGTGAGTGAGTGAGTGAGTGAGGTTTTATGCCGTTTTTTAGCAATATCCCTCAACATCATGGTGGGGTACACCAACTATGGACTTCACACATCGTACCCATGTGCGGAATTGAACTTGGGTCCTTGGCATTGCGAGCGATGGCTTTAACCTCTTGGCTACACCACCGCCCTAACTGGTGACAGGAGAAACCTAGATGACATGATAATTCTACAAGGGTAATCGAACCCAGATCTCCGGCATAATCAGCAAACACACTTAGTACAGTACTACTACACCCTCCTGTAAATTCTCCCTCAGTTTGAAGTCCACTTTGTACAATGGTCCCTAACAGAAAATGTTCAGAATATACAAGCCTTGTAAACAAGATGAGGAACAGTTATTGACATAATCAGCACCCGGGCAGCTCACTCAGTCAAAGGGCTTTAACAGGCAAAATGATCCCAAAATAAACACATCCCTGAGGTTAAACCAAAATTCTGGAATGGAACCCTCAAGACTCAGAACCGAAATGGGATGAGAATAGATAGCTGGGCTGAAAAACAAGGAGGATGATGGACAGGCAGGAAGATGCTGAAGATGCTGTGGTTTATTTGGACAATATCTATCAATAGAAACTCACTTAAACCTTGGCGTTAATGTGGGTGAGTTACACACCTCCTACAAAGCACTGCATCACCCAATTAAACTGAACACCCACTAAACAACCCTTTTGGGAACGTCAATACAAAACTATTGGGGCAAATCTTCACCTCGTATGCATGATGTTGTTTCAATCTGGAACCAGAATGGTTAGTGAACATTGTCATACTATACATTGTTAACAAAAACTATCACCAAAAAAAAAGAAGAAAAAAAAACTAAACTAAAAAAAGCAATTTTGATACAACTTTCAGGTTTTGTTAATACCGCATTCACCTGTATTGAGTACCCTGCTCCATTACACGCCCCTGACGAAACATTCAGACCAATCTGACAGTAATCTTTATTAGAGCCCTTTATGAAAAAGACTAAAATACATATATTCCATATTTTCCTTGCATATAGTTTGGAAATGTTTTTTTTTACAGAAACCAGAAGTGCAAAAGGTAAAAAAAACCAACAATCTATCACAGAAACATTACGCATACCACCACAGTCTCACCAAACACTTTAATCATTGTGTATGGTTTAATAAGCACCCCCTCAGTCTATGCACCTTGAGCACTTATGACACAAAATACGGTAATTCATGGATTAATTCTTTTTGGATGGTCCTATTGTAGGAACATGGAAGGCAGTCAGTGGAGGTGGTCCACTAATGATATCAATCAGGACATGTCAGTACAGGGCTTCAGAACTTACACCCAGACCCCAGAACTCAGTACATTCAATTGTATACAAATACTTGCCATACAAACTGTAACATCTTCTCACAATGCATTTAATAAACCCAATTTAGGAACAATCAAAAGCACAATTAAAAACCATTCCCCATCACCTTCGAGAAGTTTTCACTCATGATTCACACCATGTAACAAACATCATTGACAGATTGGTTACTGACAATGAAATGAGTTCAAACCGACACATGTCCGACATACACACAAAGAGACGCATACCACCTATCAAAGCAATCTACCTACACAGTATCTAGGAACTGAGGAAGAAGGGACGTCATGTATTGGAATCTATCACCGACAGCCTGACAGCGGTATAAACAGTACTGCAATGAACACTCGATAGCATTAGTCAGAGTGTTAGATAGCAAGTAGACTGGCATTGTTTGGAGAGATAGCGTGATAAGAAAAGCGTTACCTGGTGAGGCGACGTCACTCTGCAGTGATACTGTCCGTCGGAGACCAGCGAAACTGATATAAATATCTATAGTACATACTCTTGAAATCAACATGATATGGATAGACACAAGCGATAAATGTGTCTGTTGTGACTGAAATTGATCGCGTCTGGAGGGCTGTCTAATCCTTGAGATGACGTACTATCAAGGGATTAACTTGTTATCAGTCTGTACTGGGGCTTGTAATGAAAATATTAAGACTCACCATCAGAGATTAAACGTCTTACATTTCAATTCGGATAATGGGCATTATGTTGAAAATATACTGAAAATATCTGTATTGTACAGACAAATAGCCATCTTTGACAATAAAACACGTCAAAGGCAAGGTTTAACTTCACATAAACATCATCAGTGATCACTGTTAAAGAATTGGTAAGGTATTCATGAATTAAAGAGGTAGTCTTCTATTACATTGAACATAAATGCATAATAATATTTTGATAAAATACAGAAATTTGGTAATCATTGGCAAAATGGTTTCCGTTACACTTTACTGAATTCTCAACAAACATCAAGAGTGAGTGAGTTGGGTTTAATGCCGCTCTCAGCAATATTCCAGCAACATCAAGTCGGGGGACACATGAAACAGGCTTCACACATTATACCCACGTGGGGACTTGAACAAGGGGCTTCAGCATGACGGGCAAACGCTTTAACCACTAGGCTACCCCACTGCCCACAAATCTGAAGATGTCCATGACATAGTCAAACTTCTTGAAAGATTTTCTGGGTTAAGTAAGGCTGCATATATAAACTGTCTGTTTGCTTATCAAATTCAGTATAATCTGCTAATAAAGTCACATCTTGACATTTGTCAACTTCCAACACCAAGGGCACTGTGATTTCACTTATTTTGTCCGTTTCCTTTTTGACATTTTCTAACACTCAACAAAGGTATCATCTTGCCTGCTGATGGTAAAAGAAATCCTCATACAGCCACGGGGGACCTTAACTGTCATCACATCTAGACTGACATTGTTCTGTGGCCCTTAGAAACCAGACTGTAGTTGTTATTATGTTTTTGGCCTTTAGAGTGATTTCAATTTCAAAAGTTTCTAACAGAAGTTGTTGAGTTTGTAAATGAAAGGTGAAGAGTGATTTGACTGGCTTACATGAATATACAAAGAGTGAGTGAGTGAGTGAGTCTACGTTTATAGTCACATCGGGACTAATTCAGCCTGGTGATCTGATGAACGTCTACAAAAAAAAAGAAGTAATTTATATCTGTTTAGATCTTGTATACACACACATAAGCTCTAAACAGGCAGTGCCCATTAGACTGTTTATGGAATAATTTACTGACATAGACATAGCTGACTTTTTACCTCCACAAGTGCATTCTTGTCAGTGGAAAATCACACTATAGTGATGATGATCCCAGGTAGACCTTCTATAAGCTCACATTACAAACAAAACATATCAACAGCACATACAAGTTTGAAATATAAAGGATGAAGCATACAGTGTACAACAATAGGTAAATATTTCACACACCTAAAATACACAATGTCTGAGTGAGAGCAAGGTGGGACTAACTCTGATTTCAGCATATTCCAGTCATATCAGTGAGTTTAGTTTTATGCCGCTGTTAGCAATATTCCAGCAATATCACGGCGGGGACACCATCAAAGGGTTTTACACATTGTACCCATCTGGGGAATCGAACCTGGATCTTCTGCATGACGAGCGAATGGTTTAACCACTGGGCTACCCCACTGCCCCTCCAGTTATATCACGGTATGACAGCTGATGGAGAGGAAAGCCTGTAGTGATGCAGGTCTCAGACACCACTTTGGTGAAACCCACGGGTGACAAACCTTAAAACGTATTTGGGTTGAACCGTGATTTGCACCTACAACTATAGGGCCACCTATGCCCCACAAACTGTATGCAATAGATCAAGTCAACATGCAACATAAAGTGTCATGTCAATTTTAAACACAGCACAAAAATATAACTGACACAAAATCAAAAGCTCCAATCTGTAACCATGGTCAGGGGCCTCCAAAAATAAATTAAAAAATCAAAATAATCAAATATAAAATATACTTCCCATCAAAAGTTTAGACTCACTAGTGTAAATATGGCCACTCACTTCAGGCAACTGTTCTAGACTAGATTTTGCAAATTATTCCATACTGTTTAAAGGTACTGTTTACCCATGAACTGATCTCTTGTAAAACAAATTTGTAATGTTGAAAAGATTATTGTAATGAGTTAAAAAAATGATAAAAATCAGTGAAAATTGGCGAATCCTTAATAAAACTTTACACCAAAGCGCAGCTGTTCATATCCACGATATTTGCACATACTTTTCAGCAATTTGATGCATGATCCTCATGCAATTCATCTGCATAAGGTTTGCAGTTGGTTCCCCCCAAGTTAGTGGAGAAATCTATCTTCGATGTAACCATATA